ACAATTACCAACAATAGTACTAAAACAGGTCTTTTACTTCATCTTACTACAAGAAAAGGGTATCACAAGGAGGTAAAAGTACAGAAAAATCACCCAAGTGTGCAAAATATGAAAACCAAAGAACAAGTACTGCCATGTAGTATAAAGAACTATACATTAACTATGTCATCACCAGGTAGCACAAACAAACAGTAATGAACCAAGTGCATCAAAGTAAATATAAAGCTGCTCTAAACTTACACTGCTATGAATCGGAAAGTACCATAAAACTGCTCAGAATAAAGTACCAAAAAGGAGCACAAAGTCCTAACAAAGGCTAACATACTACAAAAAACCAAACTGTTACATCAAAGTACTGTGGGAAAAACAATCCAAAGTACTATAAAACGTCATCTGATCCACAAAGAACACATAAAGTATGACTATGCACACAGAGCAGCTGTAAACTGCTCAGAACCCAGAAAGGTTCCAAAATAACTACCACTAAGAATTACATTAGAAGTACAGCAAAACATCAAAATGAACTGAAAGATAATGTTGTACCAAAAAGTGATACATGAGTCACTGAGTACTGCAAAAAAACATGAACAATAAACCACCACACAAGATGCAGTATTAGAAGGTACTGGTCGTAGTCGGACGACCAGAGAGACACACATAACATTTTCCAGTTAGCAAAAGAAATCACCTGCGTGCAGTCTGGAGTCTGTTTCTGCACACACTCCGTGTGCAGCAGCTCCTTTTAAGGGAAGAAATGCCACCAGACAACAGAGCGAGCCAGCTCATTAGCAGCAACGGTAAAACAGTGTGGTGGAACTCAAACAGTCGTCTGTGATACAGCACAGGCCCCGCTATCTCTAGACCTCCAAGCTTCTGCTCCTGCTGCTGGCTTCAGTGGGGGTTGTTATCATCTTTCAGGTGGGAAATCCCCCCGAAAGAAAATACACAAAGAACTAAAACATGCTGAAACTCAACTTTAAGCCTGAAACTGATCCTGAAATAATCTTCAAAGTTATTTATTTGACAAACTCCATGAGAAAAAGACTGCACGTTGATCCTGCACCCCCTTTTGGCCACACCTCCAGATGGTTTTTGTGTAACTGGATTTAATTTACTGAACATAAGATGCTAATTATCATGAGATGTGTCACGGCACCCTAAAGGTAAGCTATGAAACAGCATCAAAAACCCACCCACTCATACAATTAAAATTCATCAACTAATCAATGAAAGTACAAAAATGTTACTTAGTGCCCCTGCAGGTCACCTGCAACTGAAGTTACATTTGTAATAATTAAATCTGTTTGTGTATCCGACTCTAAACATGTTGGCTTCTCGAGTAAAGCTGGACATTTTAATGGGGAGTCTATGGGGACTGACTAACTGCTGGTGCCTCAATAGATATCACATGTTTTAGCATTTAAGTGGGGACTAACCTTGGGGGTGGGGTTTATATAAATGACCCACTTAATTAAAAAAAAAAGGCGAAAAGGGGGGCCCCCTCAGGTCAACTGCAACATTATGTTAAAAAAAAAAAAAGTCAGTTTGGCTGCTTTTAAGGGGAGAAACAGTTCAAAGTGAAACCAAACAAATTAGAGAGGTATTTAATAAATAATGAAGAACAGAGAAAAAAATTAGTGTTAGTGACACCTTATCGTTTTACACAATAAGTCAAAAGAGAAATCTTTTTGCAATATTACATGGCATTCCTTTGATAGGACAAGCTTTACATCCACTCTGAGGTTGCACAGGAAAAAATGTGAAGAAACAGTTACACGTGCAAAATTATAACCCTCGAAGTCTATTTGTGCCTAGATATATTAAACGAAAATAACGGAAAACAGCTGTTTTTTGAAGACGCTGCCTAGAAAACTAAAACAGGATTTGTATGGAAGTTTAACAATGACAAAACCCCTGCAACTGGTCTTTGTTTTACAAACTCCGAGAGCCCCGTAATCCCCTGTTTGGCTAGTTAACTTTTCCCTTTAAGAGCTTCAGGAAAAAATGAATCTAACAGCTGTATGTGGGCGTGGCCTGATGAAACTGTTGTCAAGGATCCCCCGAATCTGAAAAAAAAAAACCCAGCTGAAACAAACAAAATCAAAGCAGGACTTAGCACGAAACTTGTTCCACATTTACACACGTGTCCCTGTGTGCCTCTTATTCTTCACCACATTAATTACATTTTTGCTCACTCTGTACTCTTGCCATCAATAAACTTCCCTATAAAGGAAGAACTGCGGAAAATATATGCAAAAAAAAATAAAACAAACTGAAAAAAAAAAAAAAAAAACACGGAGCTCCTCCAAACACATCACTCACTCTCTCTGTCTCTCTATGTTGCTCTTGGCTGTCTCTCACCCGGTGAGGTAATCTTCTCTGAGCCGTCACGTCAGACCACCGTGTCTCTCTGAATGAGGGGGATTTTATCATCTTACATAACATAAAAAGCTCACTGAGGCAGAAAAAAATGACAGGTTATTTCATGAATTAGCCCCTCCTCCCATCGGACCGGGGCAGGCACAACCTGCAGCAAAGCCTGGCTGCAGGAGCTGACAAAGACACCAAACCAAAATCCACCTCAACACGCAGCCAAAAGGCAATCAGTAAAAGGCCAAAATGCATGTATTATAAAGTGTTCTGAAAGAGTATTCTGTCACTTCTCCGCAGCTGCAGACCATTATTGCAGCCAAAGAAGCCGAGTCAGCAGAAAGGAGAGAACGCACTGATGGCAGAATCAGGCAAGCACCTGCAGGCGAAGAGCTGCACAGGTCATTAACAGCACAAACGGCAGATTAAGCAAGACAAAAACTCAAATCTATTCACAAATGAGTCTTTTTTTTATGTGCAGGAACACTGAAGGATAAGCAGGCGCTCCAACCAGGGGAAATCTGCTAATTCTGCTAAAACTTGAGACGAGTAGCAGCATGAAAACGCTGTTCAGCTCTTAAACATTCAGTTTCCTCAGGGTTTCCTCATGTGTCAAAAGATTCAATAAACTCATCACACTGAACTAATTTGGACACGTTTGAGATATTTGACTGCCTTTTGCAGCCTGTTAACTTTATTATTAACTTCAAGGTAGTTGTACCCAATCATCATGCTGACTTTAGCACTTCTAGCGTTGTCCTCATAACTTTAATGTTTTCTCTTTTTCTCTTATGTTTATGCGTCTTCTATGGACAGATTTTTCCTCCCTACTCCTACTTTATAATTTAACCATTTATTTTCACTCTTGTGTACCTGCATTGCTTCCTGCCTAAATCTCCTACATCCATTTACTTTCATCTTTGCACTTTTCCAAATTTTCGTGACTTAAACCTGACTTTTTGTCTTCTCACACCTCACGACTTTGCCATCCTATGCACACGTGTTCACATATTAATTATTACATCCATCCTGTTTCACAGACCCACAGACACATTTTTGTTGCTGCAAACATTATTCTACATTTGCTGTATTACATTGTTATCAAGTTGATGCCACTTTGTTTCACAACTATTTGTTTCTTTTCTGTAGACATTTCACCCACTTACTTCCATTCTTTTGGCATTTATTTCTGTACATTTTCCTCATTTATTTCAAACCTCCTACTGCTTAGTACTACTTGTAAGCATGTCACCATCTTTTGTTTCACAACTTTATGCCAATCTGTTTCATTCATGCATAAAATGAGCCATTTACTCTTTTAGTTTTTGCATTTTTATTATTACAGCTCTGTTACTTTACTTATTTCTGCTTTCTTTCATGTCCGTGCTACCCCGTTGACTTCACATTACGCTATGCAACTTGGGTTTTTTGCATGCCGTTTTGTGCACTTGCCTCTGATCCTCTGTGCAGGGATGCCGCTGAGGAGAGTCGTGCCCTCGAGCAGCAGCAGGAGGACTCGGAGGAGGGGAGCGATGCCCGGCATGACCTCTCAAAGCTTCAGCTTGCAGGAGACGAGGATGAAGGCGAGGATGGAGCCTCTGGGATTAGCCTGGAGATGAAGATAGGGCGCAGATTTAAAGGATGAGGAGCGACCAGGTGCTGGACAACTTCACTAAGTGCCTCTCCCTGCAGTTGGTCAGTCGGACTTAGGACTTGTTCAGCTGTCGGACGTCCTCGCTGTGAAGAGGGGGACCACTGAAACGCCAACATCTATAGCTTCTGCAGGTGGGCGTGGCCTGGAAGGCATCTCCAAGCCCCACATACGGCCCTCTGTAACTGTACATGCCCTCCTCTCTCGGCAGCCTGCACCCCTCCCTTTTCTCTCTGGACCTCAAACATGATTTTTTTCTCTCTCTCTCTTTTACCCCCTCTCTGCTTTTTTCATCATGCACACCTCCTCCTCCTTCCTCACCCCTCCCTTTCCTCATCTTGTTGTTTTCCAGGGTTTGGCTGTTGGACACTTCAGAGCAGGAGGTTAGCAGCAGGCTGTGATCACAAAGAACCACAAACACGTCAGAAACTGTGTCAACAGTGAAATCATCCATTTAGTGTCTATTCTTTGTTTGTAACACCCGTGTTCATCTGTGCCAAGACTTTTTTTAATGTAAAAGTGGGAAAATCATATTAGTGTAAGAGACATTTCTCTGGTTGTGCACAATTTGTTTTTTCATGTTGTTTCTTTCATCAGTTCTTTTGTGTCTTTTTGTTGTTTTCTTGTTTCAGTTTTTAGCAGTTTTATCTCTTTTGGTTATTTTTTGACTTTTTTTGTTAGTGTTGATTTGTGGCTCTGTGGTTAGTTTGTTGTATCATTTTGCATTTTTGTTACATCGTATCCTTTTATTTTCTCCGCTTTGTGGTCTTTTAAACTCTTTTTGATCATTTTTAATCTCTGTTTTGTGGCTGTTGGTGGTTGTTTTGACTTTTTTGGATTTCTTTCGGTTCTCTTTGTTGTTTTTTGTCTTTCTTGTTGTTTTGTTTCTCCTTGCGGCTTTTTAATTGTGTAGATGTTGTTACACTTTGTTGTTATTTTGGGTCCTTTAGTTGTGTTTTTGAGTATGATAAGGCCCAGGGGCCCTTGACCTTGAAGCACCTTCCAGTTCATTGAGTAATTTAATCATATATGTAAGGGCTGCACATGTTGACAGCTTGTTGAGAAGAGTTACCTCTTGTGGTGTAAGGAGTGTTTATTGTACTTAATTTCTGTATAATTGTAGCCTCATGTTTCACCATCATCACCTAAATGATGTTGATAGCAGACGTTTTGTTGTTTGGCTCACAGAGCAGCATCTGGATGTGGAACCTGTGTGGGAGGAGCTCTGAGGGTTGTACTGACAGGAACGACAGGAATGTATATCAGCCAGGGATGTTTCACAAACACCGAACTGGACAAACTACTGTGACGAGCGTCTGTCAGTGGGACATCTATTAATGCACACACTGATCACAGCAGCAGTGTGTTTGGGTCACTGAGGTTTGTTGCACGTGCTCGCAGTAAAACTCGTGAAATCAGAGCGTCCTCGGTGGCCTCGCTGCTCCTGGACCTGAGCACGATGGGAAGACACACACACACACAAAAACACACACACAAGCTCCGCCCACATCACAACACATCCGCTCTCTTCACACGTGCATGCTGAGAACAGCCACAGAGCCAAAAACTGACATGTTTTCTCCAAGTTGGAGCCTGAATGGAGGGAGGATGAAGAGGAGGAGGAGGAGCAGCAGTGATGACTGAAAGGAAAACCCAAAACCTGGCCCTGGACTCTGGGTTTATGTATCCAACACGTGCCGTCACATGCGACAGGATGAAGGGGAAAGGGAAAACTGCCAAACAGCAGCTGATGCAGAAGAGGAATGAAGTATCCGAGATTTGTGTTGCACAACAGCAGCAGAGAGCGAAGAAAAGAAAATGAAAAAAAAAATCTGAAAAAGGAAATGATGACAGGTGCATATCAAGTGTCAATACTGTTGTAACTAGTGTTAAAGTAAAGTGTAACACTAGCAGAGGAGTGCCGCAGTGGGTCAAAATCCAGAGGCTGCGTCATCGTTTACTATTAGAAACTGTATTAGAGCTGATGCTGTGGATGGAATGTTTGCCCCAATGGCCAAATGCAGAACTACAACTGAAAAAAATCCTTTCATCTCCCAGATTTTTCAGTAACAGTAACAGACTAAACTTTTTAAATAATACAATATGGTACAAAGTTTACAAATGTAATATATAATAATATACACAAATCACTCAATTCTAAATGTAAAAAAATATTCGCAAGAATATTACAGAGGTGGAATATATATATATATATATATATATACACGATTGTCATTTGACTAACCTGTGAACTGTGTGTGCAAAAAGGGTGTAACTATTGCAGTGTTTACAGTGTATTAGATGGAGGAGTTGTACAGAGAGATGGTCACAGGCAGGAATTATTTCCTGTGTCATTCAGTGGTGCTTTTTAGTAATCTTTTGCATAGTTTTCCCCTTCCTCAATCTAATAGCTTATAGGATTCCAAAATACTTAAGTTTGAGAAAGTCACAAAATTTCTTTCCATAGTTTTCCTAAATAAAATTTAACAAAACTGAATTTACTTAAAAATATTTGCTTCAACCATAAAGTTCTGCTTATTTGGGGGTTGTTATCCGCTTTTTTAACTGTTAAACCAGTTTATTTTACACTCCTTATTCATTTCATTCTCACCATTCCAGTTAACCCATTGACTTCTACTGTAAAACTCTGTATGGCTTGTTAATCTTATTCTTTACGTATGGATTTCCACTTTAGCTCATATCGTACCTGAGAGTTTACCCATTTACTTCCACAGATCCAGTGCTTACCTCTGACCTTTGTCTGTCCTTGTGTTCCTAAATTTCCTGTTCACTTGACTGTGTTACTTCCGTGCAAGTATGTCAGTCATTTTCCATACAGTTAAAAGTCTCAAGTACTTCATTGCTAGTGGAAGAGTTAAAGGACACAGCTCAGGAAATCTCTGAAACCTGAGGAGAAAAGTGTCCCTGATAAACCAGCTTGGCTACAGTGAAGAAGTAGAGTGGATCCGCTTTTCATTCTGCTCCTTCTGAAGTGTGAACGTTGCAGGTTTAAACGGGCAGTAAAGAGTCTGACAGCTGTGAACAACAAGCTTGAACAAGCTGCAGCCAAAGTTAACACTTCAGCTTGTGAAAGCTCGCTCCTCTCGTCGTGTCCGCCTTCATAAAGCTTGTTTTTCTCTGCGAGCAGTAGAGAGGCTCCACGCTTCATCTTGTAAAACTTAAACGCTCCCACATCAAACGGCAGCCCAGCTCGACGGACTCAGACTAATTAAGGATGCTGTTATTAGAAACATACTCACAGCCCCAGGGCACTACGCTCCCACTGCACTGCTAATTGGGCTAATGACGCTAACACAGCCAATTAGGTCAATGAGCCGCTGTTATTCTACGGCCAATTTAGTCAAGTCCAACGCCAAACGAGTCGATTTAACAATTACGACTGAACTCTAATAGCAGGTAAAAACATTTTGCACACTGATTCATTAACACTATTAATACAACCGCTATTACTACTACTAATTATAATAATAAAACGTTATGTTTCACTTCAGTTCCAATGTGATTAAGAGATTTAAAGTCACACACAAACATGTTACCAGGAATACTACATATACATTATAGCAATGACATCTCGAAATTGTTTATCAGGAATGATGCTGCTGCATTTCCTCTAAGTTCATAACCAAAACATGCCTGTTTTAATCCCTGACTTGCAACAGAATCAGTTTCTTGAAACGAGTCCAGTTTTCTTCATTCTCCTCAGTCATCTGTAAATGTTAAATGGCTTCAGATGCTTCATGACTGCACATATCTTAAAAAGTAATGGAGACGCTTCCAAGTCAGTCCCATCGGTGAATCCATGAGTGTGGTGAAGAAATGAAATAGAATGTTTGGCTTCGTTCGGAGGAAATTAGTAGAAAATGATGCACATGACATTTAAAAAATCAGCCTACTGATAACTTGATTAGTATGAATATTTAACACATTGCAAACACATGTTTTTGGGTTTGTTTGGTTTTTTTGTTGAGAGTTTCAACACAAAGTCTCCAGAAAAGAAAAGTGGAGTGAACTTTGACTTTCAGGGCTAAGCTGACATTTAGTATATCCGCCCTCTGCTGTTCCTGGGAGCTCTTTAACCAATCAAACGTCCCTTGTTGACAAAGCGCCTGCGTTGATTCGGCCTGCCAGAGCCCACGCGTCACCTGCATCGCATCACGGTGATGAGCGCTGAAGCCAGAAGAGAGAAAACCCAGCGACGCTTATATAACCTTTTTTCTTTCTGGGGGAAAGTGCTGCACAATGCTGCCTTTGTCTGCCTTCAGGCTTCAGCAGCACAACTGAGAGAAGCACTAAAACAGGCACAAAGACCCATAACAGGCTGAAACACATGACTTTTTTTTATACTTAAAGGCCCCTCTAAGTCTCCCTAATCTGTCAATTAAGTCAGTATTAATTATGCTTAATAAATGCAGGGTTTTATATTGTTTGAATTATGAGTGCCACAATAATTGAGGGATTTCAGTGCAGTTGCTTTTAATGACCCCTATCTGATGAGCTTCATCTGGACCTAATCTGGTGGTGAAAAGAAGGTTTTTAAGTTTTATCTGTTTCTTCATGTTGCTTTACACAAAGACACTGTGGTTTTAGTTGGAGTCAGCATTAAAGATAATTCACCTGTCAACCAAATAGACAATATGAAAGTTGAATGTAGCTTCTGGGTTTGAAAAGCACGAGTGGCGTATAGCTGCATTCGGTTTTAATGGCCACTGGGAAGGAGTGCTGATAGCTGCAAAAAGACTTAAAGTCTATGAAACAAAAAACAGCTCTTTGGTCTGACTGCCCATTGGCAGTCCATCGACAGCAGAGTCTACCTGCAGGGAGGATCAGTTGTTGATGGAGGATGTGTCAAAAACATGTGTGGCTTCTGTTATTGTTGTTCCGTTAGCCAGCCGTGAGGAAAAAGAAGATTTCTACCATATAAAGAGCTGAAGTGAAATTAAGTGGGTTGTGCTTCTTTTTCTAGTGGACATTGCTGTTACTTTCTTCCCTGTTCAGGCCCACTTATCAACCAGTTAGCGTCTGACCAATGTACAGGTCATCGAAGTGCAGCTGA